ATCAACTCTGAAACACAGCTTAAACACTGCTGTGGACGGAGATTGTTTTCATTTTAAAACTCCATTATTAAACAAAAACAGTAGTGTGGATGAAGCCTAAGTCAGGCTCTTGCAGCTTCATAACAAGCTGCATGCTGACAGAGCCAAATAGAGCGCAGCCATTGTGATTAAGTGTTGCATGTTTAAAAACAAATGGCCGTAAAACATCTGACATACAGTTATCCTTCTGACTTCCCCGCCTGTGGCACTCCCAAACCCAGTGGTTCATATTGTAATATTTAAATCTTTAAAAAACAGTCTAAAATAAATATATATAGCGCTGGATGAATCCACACGTCGTGCTCTAGTGAGTGTTTGGGGCAGCAGGATCTGGGATTGAGTCAAAATAAACTACAGCGTGTGTGTTCATGGTGATGAAGGAACATGATGTGTTTTTAATAGTTCTTGGACAACAATGGATCTCCACGGCTCAGAGGAAGAAGATATATCAGGTTGTGTTACACACTACTTGTTAGGAAATGAAAAAAAATCGGGTCTTTTCATGGGATTTGTTGACGATAAGAAAAATATAGACCATCACAAGACTTATCTTATAATTATCGGTACCTAGAGACGTAGACGTTTAAACAGGCAGAACAGGATATAGAAAACGAGACTGCTTGCTTTCGGGGTCTTTTTGATATCTTCACCTTTAAAGTAGGAAGATTAATTTCCTATGTCTTGTGAAGGTATTAAACACAGCATGCTGAGCACGTTAGACCCATGTCGATGAAGGCAGATATAAAAAAAAGGCTGAATCTGTTTGTCATTCATTTTCACTTGTTTACTGTTTACGCAGTAATTGATCATCATTTTTGTTACTTTGCTTTTCATTCCTTAATGGAACAGTGCCTTTTTATATAACTAGTGTATTTTTGAAGGATAATCTACAACCACAGGATGATATCGAACCTTTACAGAAGGATAGACGCAGAAGAGTTCATGTTGAATGTCAACTTGACAGCGGTTTAAAACATTTAGTGAGATGAATACTTTGAAGGCACTGAGGACTCAGCAGCTCACATGTTCAAACTCGTTTTTTGACACTGTAACTGAGTTCACTTCAGTTCGAAACAGACATTTTATTTTACAGATTTATCTTTTGATAAATTACTGGGGACTATCACACCACCTGCACAGATTGAACAAAGGTATTTTATGTGACTGAAAATAATAAATTTCAGGTATTGCAGCGAACCAGAGGCTACTCAGCTATGAGAGTATTTATTAGTATTTTTTTTAGGCTTGTCTTGCTTTGGGCCAAATTATATCTTTACTAATAGATTTCTGTATTTATACAGGATGATCAGGGGAGAAATAAATGTTTGGATATCAAAGTTGTCTTTGTTGTGTCTTTTTGTTAGTGTGAATCCAAACATTTCTTTTGTGCATGCATACAAGGGGAACAGAGCATTAAATTTCAACAGCAGTGGTATTTACCCTCAGGTACTAATTAAAAAACAACACCCTTCACATTATACAGGATTAACAACTGTACAACATGTACTGGGGCTCCAGATGGGATCAAACTGCCATGGCAAAAGTATTTTTACCTAATCTTTTTAGAGGTTTTAACATCTTTATTATTTCAGTTGATGTAATGCTTACATGCTGCATATTCTTGGGAGGAAGGATAGTAATCAAGAATGGACGTAGTGGTTGTGTTCTGGGGCTCCGGGTGAGAGATCCGAGGTCAATAGGAGCCAATCATGAGACAATACTTCCACTTGCCTAATTATCAGTTCAGTTTTTGAATAATGCAAAACAGGGAAATGTCTGCGAGAATAAAATACGGCAGCTATGAAATTACAAAACAGTTGATGTAAAATAAAATAAAAATACATTCTTTGCTGTTACAGTAATTGATTTAAGGATACTTAAAAATGACACAATAATACTATTAAAATAATATTAGTTTTAGACTAAACCATGCCGCTTTTTTGCAGTGATGCAAAGTAACTAAATATGTTTACTCAACTACTGTACTAAAGTTTTGAGATACTTATACTGTACTTGAGAATTTCCATATTCTGCTAGTTTATACTCAACCAACAACAATTTAAAGGCAAATATTGTACATTTTACTCAACTTCATTTCTTTGATAGCTGTAGTAAGTGTACTTTCCAGATTCTAATTAATAATACAAAAATAATCAATAAATCAATTATGTATTATTAAATGTTGAGCTAAGAAAAAGCTTTATTGATCCTGGGGTAAATTTACAAGGTAGTTTATAAAGTAATTAAATTAGCCCCACCATTACCAGCTGCAACATTAAAGTGATGCATCAATACATCACTGTGTAAAGATCATTAATGATTTTGCTGGTAAATGTGGGGCTAATTTTAACTACTGTATATACTGCAGGGTGGCGTAATCCATAAAAATACACTTGTATTGTGTAATAATTATCTGAATATGCAAAGTAAATAGTAACTAAAGCTGTCAAATAAATGTATTGGAGTAAAAGGTTAAGTGTAGAGGAATGGAAGTATAAAGTAGCATAAAATGTAACTACTCAAGGAAAGTACCTTTAAATTGTAGGACAGTACTTGAGTAGATGTGCTTAGTTACATCCCACCACTGAATACTTCTATATTTATTTCTACACCGTAGTTTTACCATGATCTAAGTTGGTCAGTTTTTACTTGAGGTGTCCTTAAAGCGAGGACATAGCAGTAATGTCTCCAACTAAAATATGAAGATATATTTTAGGATGTGGTGCATCCCTGGGAATAATCAATTTGGATCTAAAATAAACTGTTTTAAAAATATGACTTTCCAAAAAAAAGTGGACTCACATGGGGGTCGGGGACATCAATGTCATTTCAAACGCCAGTTCCCAACAATTAATTGAACTCAGATAGTGAAACATTGCAGCTATATCTCCTAGTTGTTTCATATGTATCGCTTTAAAGCTACCCTGTTTATCGTCATGTCTTGTGCTCCCTAATGTATGGACTTCTCATTTTTGTACCTCTCTACTCTGTCCAAACTCACAATAGGAGTTGAAGCCTGTCTGTCTTCTATTTGTAGAATCATGACGTGATGGTTTCTGGTCTAAAATGCACAATGTCACATAATTTCGGTGATGCATAAAAATGCAATGTAAAATTAAAGTAAAATATGTGGCTCAACTTCCCCACAGGCTCACCCTGCTCTCCCCTACTTCTCCCAGTTACATCCCACCAATATAAATGGGCCATTCTACATAACGACTAGTTTTAATGTTGATACTTTTGTACTTTTACTTAAGTAACTTTTGTAATACATGTATTTTACTTGTAACACAGTATTTCTACACTGTGATTTTGCAAGTTTTACTTTGATCCGAGTACTTCTTCCGGTTACATCCCAGCTTATTCAGCAAGGGGCCATCTAATATACTGAGTACTGTTTCTGCTGATACTTTTGTACTTTGTTTGAATACAAATATTTGTATTTCTACTTTGATCTGAGGACTTCTTCTTCCACCACTGTTTGTTTTGACTTCTGGCTTCTTGAGGGTGACAGAGAGGAGCTGCCGCCATCTTGTGTCCTTCATGGGAAACGACGGGCTGCCGTTGACTCTGTCTAGAGGACCAAGTGGAAGCATAGACTGTGAAAACAGTCTGACTTACATCAGAAAAACAATAATCTTATCTGAAAATGAAGCCAGTGTTTTCTATGTCGTATCTTTTCCCTTATCCAGGTGTAACGTTACGGCGGGGCGACAGATCAGAGGCAGTGCGTCATTCAACTGAAAGTGAAACTAAACCAGTGCTCAGCTAGCTAAACGTGGACTGTGAGGCGGAAAACACGGTAAATCATCCAAATGAGGTACGAAAACGTTAGTTTAACCGATATATTAATGTGTCACAAGTTAAGTTTATCCAGCAGCAACGACAGTATCGACCTAACATGTTGTTGCGATGTGTTTTTTTATTATTAACCAACACTCGCTAGCTAAAGTTAAAGGAACGTTTCATACCAAAAGCTGCAAACAAGTTGAATTAGTTAAAATGACCATAATAGGTTATAATGTTACAGGTATTACATGCATGCTGTGGAAAATGTTTCCACATCAGACTACTAATTATGCATTTTCTCAAACACAGTTATTTTGTACAATTTTGAGCTACTTTTCTATTTTATGCTTCTTTATTCCTGCACTTAACCACATTTCAGAGGAAAGAACTGTACTGTTTACTGCACTAACTTACATTTATTTAACAATTGCAGTTACTTAAAAGATCAACGTTTTTACATACAGAGCATCTGATTATTAAATATGATGTAAGTTACTGTTTTAGATTAAATAAACCCAGCTGCAACCTAAAAATGCTGTTTACATGTTCTTACCAGTAAATTGGTAATCCAATAACATTATCTAACACCAGCACACTTTGCTGTCTGGTGAGTACTTTTATTTGTTGTCAGTTTTGCCCCTAACACTGTTGTACTTCTGGTTAAGTACAATTATGAATGAACTTAAGTAAGTTCATTCATAATTGTACTTCACTTCTAATTAATTGTGTCTAGTTAGTTATGTTGTTTACTGTGTCAAGTACATGTGAGTGCTCAGCCCACATGGACTTATAAAACACCAAAATTACCATTAATATGGTAGTATTATTATATCATTAGCAGTAGTAAAACATTTGTCAGTCATGAGAATAACTTCTCGTGTATAAGATATAGTGAAACTATATACATTCTCATATACTGTAGCTGTGTTTAGATAGATGATTGAAGATGGCAGAATAAAGGTTTTAAAATATTCACTTTTCCTTTTTTGTTTTTTTCTTGTAAAAGTGTAACATAGCATAAAATGGAAATACTTGAGTATAAGTACCTCAATAATGTGCTTAAGTGCAGTGCTTGAGGAAATGTACTTAGTTGCTTCACCATCAGCAGACTGTATATCTAGAAATATTTGTTGTTTCAGCATTCAGCCTCTTGCAGTCGTGACCAAACCAATATGAGGGAAGCGGCAGCATGTGGACTATTTATTCTTTTGTTCGACATGGTGCTGTGTTTGGCACCGTGGGCTGTACTGGTGCTGCTGGAGTGCTCCAGTTTTGGTGGACTGGCAGGTGTGTGGGCCTTTGGGGCAGTAAAGTGGGCCGTTCTCCATGTTTTCACCTCTATACTGACTGATGGAAAGCCGCAGGCTGTGCTCCGCAGGTTGGTAGCACTCTTGTGCCTTCATTCTCCTGTGTTTGAAAGTGGACGGATCCTTATGGCACCTCCTGAAGAGCCTTACATGGGACCATCTCCTAACTTCAGCCTGCTGCTCCTGGGCTCATTGTCCTCGTCTCTGGCCTGTGTGGTTTGGGAAAAGGGCCTTAGAGGTGATGGAAAGACGGACAGCAATAAACTGGATGCCAGGCGGTTGCTTATGAGGATGCTGAAATACTTCAAACCTGACACCCTTTACCTAATTGCAGCTTTCAGTTTCCTCATCTTAGGAGTCGTCTGTAAGTGTGAAATATTGACATTCTACACCTGCACACATGCCTTATTAGCTTAAAACAATGTCATTTATTCTGTAATTAACAGACACCATTATAGGATATGGTTATATATGTGTTGATGTCCACACATCCATCCCACATATTTTTTTGCTATGAAAAGACCAATGTTGCTTTGTCTCTCTATAATTTCTAACTTCCCATACCATGTTCATGGCTCTTAGCCCTAAGCCCATTGGTTCCTACTACAGCTGTGCGATATGACTAAAATCTCATATCCCGATATAGGTCATTTCATATCCCAATAACGATATATATCTCGATATAGAACATTTTTTGTAAATGCTATTGCTAACATCACAACACAATGTCTTGGTGAATTAGAAAGTAAGCTGAATGTCCATCGGCGAGTCATTAAACATTACCTGACACACACATCATGGCTGAAACAGCTGCAGTAGTGTTGTGTGGCACTTGCGTACGACAGACTTCTCTCTTTGGCATGAACTCCTGAGTCCAGTTGAGTAATATCTAGTTGTTTATTATTAATGCAAATATCTCCTCTGCAAAAACGGCAAGTGTGGAAGAACGGACCGAGGTGGAGGTACTTTTAAGTTAGATGTTAGTTTTACATTGAGTATTTGGCAGATGTTTGTCGAAAATCCAACGTAACACTGTAAAACTTCACTGCGGTGCGAAGCGTCGCCCCCTCGTAAAGTGTTGAATTTGCGACACAACGAAATAAACGATAGAGCATAGACGTTTTGCTATCATCAAAGGATATATATCGTCATATCTCCCTGGTTCCTACTTAAGATGTCTTTATAAATAGGTCACAAATGTATACTCACATTTTTTAAAAGGCTTATTATTTTCCTAAAACAGCTGGACACTGTAGTTTTTAGCAAACATTACTCAAACAGGAGGAAATAGTGCATTTGTTGGGGACTGTTTTCAGTGGCGGATTATTCCACATTTGGGGCAGCAGGAAGGTGTATGTGGGATTGTGTGTTACACCCAGTGCAACAGTGTGGCTCATTGATTTGCTTTTAATAGTTTTTGGATAACAATGGAGGCTTTTGGCTCAGAGGAAGAAGATAATATGAGACTGTGATGCACACACTTTACTTGTTAGTAGGCACATTCACTGTTGGTGTCTTAATTGGATTTGCTGACAAAAAGGGAAACGTCAAATATCACCAGTCTCATCCTGTTGGGTGAAAACTTGGCTGAGAAAATGCTACAACCCTTTAAATATAAAATGCATGTGTGTGGAAGTAAAAACAACTTTCATATTTTGAAGGCTTGACCAAAATAAGACCACTCTAAATGCTCACTGCAAAGAAGCATTGTACATGTAACTTCCTGTTTAATCTGTGTTTCATTCATCTTTCCAAACAGGTGATACATTTATCCCATTGTATCAGGGGAAGGTAATTGATATGCTAAGAGGTCAAGTCCATCAAACCAGCTTATGTTATGCAATTGGACAGCTGGCACTTGTCTCTCTTGGAAGGTAATGAAATTAAACTGCTTGTATATATCCTTATCCTTATTTGTTTTCTTAATAACAACAACATATTACCTAGAAAACCTAGAAAAATTTGATTTATTCAGTGATTTAAAATATAAACTGTAATTCGTAATGTCTTCATCTTAACAGCGCTCTGTTCTCCGGCTTAAGAGGAGGCATATTCATGTGCACCCTGGCCAGACTGAACAAGAGACTGAAGCATCTGCTGTTTCAAACCCTCCTGCAGCAGGAGGTGCACTTCTTTGATGAGAACAACCCTGGTGAGAAGAACACAGTAAACACACAACATGTCTGGTATTATATTTCAGGCATGCAGTGTTTTACAGGGTCAAGAAACCAATAAGTTTACCAATATTTCTCCTACTTAAAACTAAGGAGCCTAGCCCAAATTTTGAAAAATAGCCGCAGACCAAAAGGACACATAAGTATGTGTACATGGGTGTCCAGGCTGATAGCTCGTCCATGCATTATGTTTCTAGGTTTAAGTTGTTCATAGTAAGGGTTAAGACTTGTTGCAAAGCTGGTGTCCATCAAATGAGAGTTGTTGAAAATCTAGTGGGTAAAGAAATAAAGCCATAAAGCGTTATTTTATGATTTATGAATTTATGAACTAAAGTAATTTGTTACAGCTTATAAACTAAATATAATATATGACTAACTATTTCTACTTTTCCTCTGTAATCTGTAACAAACACTGAAACTCTGCACAGATTTAGCTGTTAATTAAAGCTCTTTCTCCCTTTCACCACCCAGGACGTCTTTCCTCCCGCCTGCACTCTGACGTGGACAGGATGGGCCGCACAGTAGCACTGAACGCCAACGCACTGGTTCGCAGCACAGTCAAAACCTGCCTCATGCTCGCAGTGATGTTAAGCCTGTCCTGGGAGCTCACTGTGCTGACCTGCATAGAGATGCCACTCTTGGCCATCATTCAGAACAAATACATCACCTGGTACAAGGTAGGTGAGATGTGATTGGCCTTGGACTCAATAAACAAAAGTAGTTCAGTTTGCTTGAAATAGTCATTGTTACTATGAATATTTATGAATATATATATGAGCAACCAACAAACAATGTTTCAGCCTTTAAAGTATTTAATACACTCAAATAGGTAGCAAACAAAAATAAATCAAAATTTAACCAAGCTTATGACTATCCATTCAAACAAAAATGCTAAACCAAAATTCAGATTGCTTACCTGAAGTCCTCACTCAAAAACAAAACAAAAACAAAAATGCTACCCATTCCTACAAACCACAGGGCCGCTATGTGTCACAGCATGAGAGTATTTACAATAAAACGGGTGTCAGTCGGCAACAAACTGGCTACTTGGAAGAGGTGGAGGGAGCTGGCTGTCAGCCTGGAACCAGTCTCCTTCAGGGAACTATTTACACAAGTATTCACAACAACCAGTCACAGTAGCTCACATGAGCCTATTGGACACACAGCCACTATAGCAGGTTAATAGAGCGAAAACGGAAGAGGGAGAGCCACAAAGAACACGATAAATATTGGCCATCACATTGTCTTTCGTTCTCTTATCCATTTCAAAATTGAACTCCTGTAATAACAAGGAGCAGCACATGAGCTGGTTGTGATCAGTGGATAACTGGCTGTGAGGAATCAGCATGGAGCTCAAAATGCTGTAAGGAAAGTAACAAAGACTTCTTTCTCAATTCTGCTAAAATTTAATGCTGATTAAACATCTGAAACAAATTGACTACTGACAATGTAGTTTGTTAATTTTTTTCAAAGATAAGCAATGGCATCGCCGTTGATAATCCTAGCAGTATTAAGTTAAAGTCTGTTGCTGTTACATTCAGCACAAAGCTCAGCAGCCTTTGAAGAGATATCCTGTCATGATTGCTTCTGGGCCATTCAGAAAGCTTTTAACATCCAGCATCAGACACTAAATAATAGCTGTGCTGACAACAATGCTTCCAGTCACCAGTGTGGGGCGCTCTAAAACTAAAAGTTACTGCAAAAGTTATCCATTCAAGTCTACATCTGGATTCTGTATCAAAGGTTGTTCCTACATGTACCGAACATCTGATTCCCAGATGTGAGTGAATAAATAAGTTATTTCATTTGACACTTACAACGCATGATAAGATTTGTTCCCCTCCTCTCAAAAATGTTTTCTGCTATTCCACTCTGCAGAATGGTGTATGTGCAGATTTGACGCTGGAGGTCTGTTTTGACATGCATCTGTTAAAGGGGGAAGAGTTTGTCTGTGCTCACCTTAAATCTCAGTTTAATATGCGAACGTACGAGCAGGATTTATGACATTGCAACTAGTTTGGAAGCCAGTCGTCGTCTAACGTGCATCATACACAAGCGTGATGTGGAAACTAGAAACTTCTCGTTTCCACATACTCAGTGAATGAGGAAACATCTTGTGTCCAGCATTTATATTTTTGAAATGAACAGGGCTATATATATACATAACAATTATTTTTTCAAGTCGATTAATCTAACGACTAATTTTGTGTATTCTAAAGGGGAAAAAGTTGCCTCTTACTCAGTTAACATATAACATTTATAATCAATAAATCAATATTTTATTTGATCATCCTGATGATTAGGCTACTTTACTTCAAACTTTAAATATTTCTGACATGGATTTATATTAATATTGAGTAATGCAGTATGATAATCAAAGGTATTTCTGCATCAGTGTAGAAAACAACTGTAAGGATTCACAGTCTGTTATTTTTATTGTTGTCTGTGATGAAGCTGATGATACACAGAGCAACTTTTAGAGCAATGCTGCTGGGCAATGTTCCCGTCAATGGTAATGAGGAAAGATTACTACCGTAATCCCCTTCCCCCATCACTCCGCCACTTGCCCCGCCTCGCCGCTATCCTTTAAAAACGTAGCATAAAAGCTAATGTGACCTTCGGTGCACTGAAATATGACATTTGTGCAACTGTTTTACAAAATGTGACATCAACGATAAGAAAGTGAGGAAATGAAATGCAGCTCCAGGTCAAGCAGAAGACATGAGCCTGTGATGTCCTGAGTGCAGCATTAGTCTGCTTATGTGCAGTTTCTTGTTACTGAATCAGTCTGTATTGTCTGTTAAACAGGAGCTGAAAGATCAGCTCCAGGACTGCCTCGCTCAGAACAAACACCTGGCTTTACAGACCATCGGTGGGATTCACACAGTCCGCAGCTTCAAAGCAGAGAAAGATGAACTGAGGAGGTATAATGAGGCTCTGGACAAGATGCGCACAGTCAACAGACGTTCAGGAATCTACAGCTCAGTGTTCCTGTTGATACGGAGGGTAAGATGGCAGGGGTTTACGTCCATAAGTTGTATGAGTGACCATACAGTATGGAGGCCCTATCCACCAGAAAAATATGAAAAGTTAGGGGTTTTAGAAATGTAAAAATATGCATTGTCAGCAGAAACTATTATGAGGTCGTGAGTCAAAAGTTCAAAATTATTGGAGAATTAAAATGTCTGCAAGGTTAAGAATTATGACATACTTGGTCATAATTACAAATATTTGACGTCTGACACGCTCAAACTGTTATACTAGGTGTCTGACAACAACGTGGAAAGGATCCCTACGAGTAACACCCTTTGTTTTTAACAATCTTTTATCAAATTCTTGCCCAGAAATCTCATGAGAGGTGAGTTGTTGCAGGGAGACGACGGCGGAAACATGAGTCAGAGTTGGAGAGAGGAGTTTGTTGTGTTGGAGTAACGTTAGGAAGTAAAGTCTTGCTAGCAGCTCCTCTGTGTACACAACAAACTCCTCTCCCTCGTTTCTACCGGCGTCTTCCTGCAAAACAACTCTCCTCTCACGAGATTTCAAAAACAAGAATGTTTCTCATTAAAAATAATAGGGGTTAAAGAAGAGAAAAACATTTTGTACCAACATTTCAACACCAAAATGTGTGAAAATACAGCCCAGGTTTAAAAATGCCAAAATTACCCTCTGAAAAGTCAAAAACTCTGACTTAGTATCTCATAAATTTGACTTTTTTAATTGGTCTTTTTGAAATATTTCATCTATTTTGTTCTGGCAGGAATGGGCTTCCGTTCACATGTTAAAAACTCTTTTTACTTTGGCCCAAGTTTTTGTGGAGCGTGTGTAATTTCTGTTGATTTGTATGTTTTTTTTAAGTTGAGCTACAGTGTGAGTAATTCCTCTCTATGCATTCTTTCCATTTAGCTGGTGAGTGTGGGGATAAAGATACTCATGCTGTTACAGGCCCGCAGTCTCATCTCGTCGGGTGACCTCAGCATCGGTAGCCTTGTGTCCTTTTTCTTGTATCAGAAGCCCATGTCAAACAATTTAAAGGTGAGTTGAGATGTTAATATTTTACACTGCAGGATCCCTATTTGAGTTGTAAAATATGTAATGGCTGTTCTGTTGTGGATGAAGAAGATTATTTATTTTTGTTACAGGAGATTTTGTATTGCTATGGAGAGACGGTGTCCACGGTTGGAGTGATTAAAAAAGTGTTCAGCTATCTTGACAGGACACCACAGTGTAAGAAGGAGGGAGAGTTGGCGCCTGAGAAGCTGGAGGGAAGAATTGTTTTTCAAAATGTCAACTTCACCTACCCTTCGACTCCTCAAGATAAACCAGCACTGAAGGTAACTGTGTCCTTGTGGTATCATTATGTTGAGAATAGTATTTAACATTAATCCAGAGTTGGACAAGCCACGAATGCATCATTACATCATTAACATTTTCTGCGCAGTCAGTTTCCATGGAAATTCAGCAAGGGAAGATGACGGCCCTGGTGGGCCCCTCCGGAGGTGGAAAGACTTCCTGTGTCAACCTCCTGAAGAGGCTGTACGAACCTCAAGAGGGACAGATCCTGCTGGATGGAGAACCGCTGCACCATTACAATCACAAATACTTCCATCAAAAGGTACAGTGAGATCGCTGCAACAAATAAAATCATTCAGATTTTTCTTTTTTCTTTAGATTTTCAAAAGAAAGATCAGATGCAACAAAGTACTTCACAATGAAATACAAACATGAGACATGACATACAGACACAGTATAAAATAGAGATAAAAGTACTTAAAACTAAACAGAGCCAAGTTTCACCACTTTGTGCATCAACATCCATTTCTTCGTAAAAGTGCAGATATTGATACAAGGAGGTGGTTGAACTCAGTGAAATAGATTTTAATGGTGCAAATTTATACCACTTTGTATCCAGAGGACGTACAGGTTTAGAAGGTTGTGTGCTCGTGACACACAAGAGTTTGTTCGCTTTATTTTTGGATTAATAATTGAATTTATTTTCTGTATAAAGTGCAAAATCACCAGTAACATAGTTCCAATAGACTTTAAAATATAAAACACAGAAGTCACAAAAAATACAAAAGGTAGAATAAACACACATAATAAAATATGTGAGGGTAAAAACAACAAAATAATAAAAGAAGAGAAATCCTAATTTTAAAAATGTTCTACTTCGTCAGGAACCGTGTGGAACTGTATGATTAAATTTGCTATGCAGAGAGGATTTTGCAAACTGTACAAACTGGAAGCGATATGATAAATACGGTTTAAACCAGCTTAGAGTGGTTAATTATATAATACTCTGCACTCTGACTGTAACTCTTTGAATAAGTTATTGTTACATCATTGTTTGTTTAGATGGCCGTGGTATCCCAGAATCCCGTGCTGTTTTCTGGTTCACTGAGATACAACATTGAATACGGCCTGAAGGACTGCAACCTTGAGAAAGTGAAAGAAGCTGCGAAGAAGGCCAACGCAGACGACTTCATCTCTGAACTGGAGAATGGATACAACACAGGTACAGAAGTGGCGATGACCTTGTGGCATACACATTTAATAAAGGGCTGGTTTTCAGCTTAATCTGCCGTGACCGTGAGAGACAGAGAGAGAGGTGTATGTGAGCAGATTCCTGTAGTTTGTGACAAAACACTAAAGTAAGGTTGAGCATTAAGTAGAATTAAAATGGTGAGATAAGAAATAACATAGGCTATGAGAAATAGGGTATGTATTTTATCAAATGTTTTCAATTAAAAATACAAATAAACCCCCCACCACTACAGTTACACTGTCATCCTGTGGGAAACACTGAGGGGTGTTATATAGCAGGTTACTTTTCAGTTATTTGTACAAAAAAACATTTATTACATTTTATTTTGAGATGTGTCTGAGTGAGAGAAGGTAACCTGCTGCAGAGAAAATCTGTTATTTAAAGTTATTTAATAGTCAGTGTTTTATTATGAACATAAATTTGAAAAATATCGGGAATCAGATGCAGTCGGTTCATCTATAATTTAATATCGTATACGGAAGTTGTCATAGACCAGGGGTGGCAAAACTGCAGCCAACTGTGGTCCACTGCACAATTTTAAATGGTCGCAGTTACATAAAAAACAAGTAGAACATTGCTTGAAGTTATTTCTGACAAATTGTGCAGTATGTACATCCTGAACAACTACTAGTAAGCCCTGCAAGCACTTCTTAGTTTAAACACAGGAGGGGCTATTTTGAACAACTACTACCTACAGTTAGCACCTGTCAAACGCAGGTAAATTATTAGCTGTTGGTAGTAAAATTGTCAGGCCATCTGCCACTTTGGTGAACAGGGAAAACGCACAACATTAAGGTTAGCGTATTGCGGCGATCGGTGCTCACACCTGTTTCACAATGCACCAGCCGGACTACAGCACTCCGGGGTTGTCGGAGCCTTAAGCCCCCTGACGGCCCATGTGCTCACCAGAGCAGTCAACCTGGGCAAACTGTGTATTGCTGTCATCCTCTTGCACTCTTAAGATGCTGTATAAAGTTAATAATATTGGAATACTATTTCTTATTTCATGGGCTATTTGGGGTTTTTGGGGTAATGCATATATTATAATATAATAATAATAATAATAATAATAATAATAATAAAAAAGAAAGCATTCAGTTTTAAAAGTTGACCAAAGTAATCGTGATTATGATTTATGCCATAATCGAGCAGCCCTACATTGAATGAACATTATTTACATTAAAATGATGCCTGAAGGAGCTGAATGTAATTCCTTCATTTAGCACATACATTTCAGTGAATCCTGAAAATGTCTGAATTTGGCCTGTGACGTTTTATATTTTTCTGTTTATTGCCTGCCATCCAAAATCATTTGTGCTAAAAGAAAGATTTGTTTTTGTCCCGAAGGTGCCTTAGTGTTTAATTGTTTTTGTTGTTTTAATAGTTTGATGCAGGAGCAGTATGCTTATGTTCTGTATGTACACTGAAGTTTGAGCTGCTTTTTTTTGCATTTTAGCTCATTTTAGAGTCCAGCTTTCATCAACGTTGTAGGACCGTTTTAACCGACGGTAGCCACGGGTAGATGTGATGTGAGGGAAGTCTGCTTATAGCTTGAGATGTCCGGCTAGTGGCTGGTGATGAAAGAAGAAAAGAACACAGGAAACGGATGTTTTAAGAGTGACTGACTGAGTTTTTATTATTGAATCATCTATATTCCTTTGGTTTGTCTTTACAGATATAGGCGAATGTGGTGACAAACTTTCAGGCGGACAGAAGCAGTGCATCGCCGTCATCAGAGCTCTGGTTCGAGATCCGCAGGTCATCATACTGGATGAGGCGACCAGCAAACTGGATGTTGAAGCGCAGCATACTGTAAGTAAAAAAACTCTGGTCATAACAAGTCAAGTCTTTGCCACTGACAACACCCGAGTGAACAGGAGCACAACAGTGGCTCTGAAACATTCAGTAAGCCACGACAGTGCAGGGGAGGAGGAAGTATTCAGGTACCTTTTAACAAGTTAAAGACTTGTATTAAAAAACTTCAAAAACAAACAAAGTTAAGTAAAGGTTCATAAATGTTAAGAAAACAATTATAATTATTGATGCATGAATGTGTAAGTGTCTATAACAAATCATAATTTATTAGATGATTCATATTTTGTATTAATAATTATAATCTGCAAAGTAACTAGTAACTAAAGTTGTCGTATAAATGTAGTGGAGTAGATCATTCGCCTCTAAACTGTAGTGTGTACGCCCTCGCTCTCTCTGACAAGTTTAGTTCAGCTAGAGCCAAGATGACCGGGGGTTATAACTGCTCTAACTTTGGTTAGTCAACACTGTTATCTCTCCGGGGGCCCAGTTAGGCTCAGAGTTTGTTAAACCAGCTTTCTGAAACAGGGCCCGGGGGTTATAACTGCTATAATAACCAGCAATCATTAGCTTAAGCCTACATAAATTGGCAAACACCGTGCTGCTGTCACCTTCTTGCGCTCTAAGATGCTGTTTAAAGTTAATAATGTTGGATTACTATTTATTTCTTGGGCTATTTAGGATTTTTGAGGTAATGCATATAAATGAAGGATTCAGTTTTAAAAGTTTAATAAATGCATGATGAAGTAATTGTGTTAAAAAATCATTATCTCAATAATGACCAAAATAATTGTGATTATGATTTTTGCCATAATTTAGCAGCCTTAATTCAATCTATCAGTTGCTTAATTTGGCAAAAAAAACCCGCAGTAAAACAGAAACATGGAACAAATGAGCACATAGTGTTACGTCCCAAGGTCTAGGGTTGTCCTGGATGTAACATAAATGTGTGGCCTCCCACTCTTCCCATTCCCAAACAAGGCCAGCACACAACAAATACAATTTAGCAGTTTTTATTATACATCGGAGATGAGAAGTGCCCAAAACAACAACCAAAACACTAAGAAAACCTAAATCTTTCCTAAACCCAAAACCAAAAGGTAAAGAAAAGACAAAGCTCTAAAACTAGGCTTCTAAGTCCAAAAACAGGAGAAAACGGTGCAAACAAAAAAAAGGGCTTCTCACTCCTACTCACTGCTAGTAGCTGACACAATATAGCTACGACAAAGGAAATTGCTTCATAGCAACAAAAATGGCAAAGCCAACAAAACCAGGTTGTCATAAGACAATCAGAAGGACTACGATACACTACTTACAATCTAAGTTGAATATAGTCACAACCGTTCACTATGTACAATAAACACAGACATAGCACACAGTCCTCAGGCAGCTCAACCAGACCAATCCAGTGTGTCCACCTGTTCTACAGTACCTGCATACACTCACACACACACTCTAATGGAGGAGAACAGCTGACAGTGCCAGGAGAGATAAACAAACAACAAAATATGACCCCAGGGTCATAACACCTCCCCACCCAAGATCAAACGTTTTCCTCTTAAGAAAAAGGTTTGATTCAATGAGACCTAGAGAGAGCATCAGCCATAACATTTTCTAAACCCTTTTTGTAACGAACCTCAATATTAAAGTCCTGCAGTAATAGGGACCAGCGCATGAGACGCTGGTTGCTATTTTGCATTCGAGTCAAGAACACCAGGGGGTTGTGGTCAGAGAAGACGATGGTTGGCACATGTCTAGACCCAAATGTGTGCAAATTTCTAAGTGCCTCATTATGATTATGAGGCTAAGATGCGCATGTAAAACGAATAGGATACAGATGTATTTTTCTCACTGTTTGACTATTTGGTACTATCGCTACAAGTAGCGCCGTTACTAGTTTAACTACATTTCTCAGTAGCTTGGTGGTAGCGTCGCTATTTTCTGAATCAAATAGCTTTTCAGTAACGAAGCTCTTTTATTGACCGAGTAGCGCGGTAGCTTCCACACACGCTACATTTTCCCAAGCATTTCTGAATGATCAGTAAGTGACGCCACCGCCGGTGACATCACGTACCGATCCTTGGGCTGATGTCTGCGACTTTGCTGCAGGGGAGTAAAGACGCGCGATTGAGTTTACTTTCTATTGTGATCGTTATAGTAACATGTCTTGTGAGAAGGATCAGGGTCCAGCCCGGACAGCTCTTATTATTACAGCGTTATTACTGACCTCTGCTACTCCTATTTTCATTTATGAGGCTGCTGTTATTATAGAGTCAGATACGTGTTGAACTAAGCACTTTACAACGCTCCAGCCAAACCACGTTCACTCCACCTTAACATATCTGCTCCTGTTTTTTTGTCTCGTCTGGTGTAGTTACATGTTTGTGTCTTGTCCTGTAAGTTGATTATTGAAATCCAGTATTGAGCACTGTGGGCCTTGAGAAACGGCATTTCGTTCATTTGTGTACTCGATATGTGGATGAATGACAACAAACCAACTTTACAGCAGCCAAATAACGTCCTGCTCAGCTTCCAGACCGCAGTCTGAAGAGGAGATGTTTGCTAGCGCTAACTGCCTTTCTAGTAGTTGGAAAACAACAGACAAACTTTAATTAACGGACCCGCTGTGATCTGCACTGTACATTTATAGCCAGACTAAAACGTGGCGCTCAAGCTTTCTGCCATTTGAAGAATGAGCAGAGGACGCTTGCTAAGTGTGTGGGGTGCGGGTGAAAATCATTAACGTGAGATAAGACGTTGATCTCTCCACCATCATAACACAGACGGTCCGGAGCTGCATTTCCGAGTTCCGCCGTTTTCGTTCCGTCAACATTACGTTATCAATTAACCTCTAGATAATCGATTATTGACATTTGTTAATCGATTCATAATCGTCCAAGACCTGTAATAGTTATAAACAATTTGAATCAGTTGGGTTGGCTAAAGGTACTCTGTAAAGGACAACAAATGGCAAGGTCCTAAACTCTGCATGCAAGGGATGGAAACTGTCACACTGAATGGACTCGACTTTCTTAACAACAGATTTTTTTTTCAGTCCCTCCAGGATTTCATGAGCCTTTTTTGTGATTGTTTGTATTTTGTAGCAGCTTTTCTAAAACATCGCGAAGAAAGTTGTGATGTTCTTGGGTGTTTGTTTTTTTTTTTTTTGCGATGAAATTGTGGGAATAAGTGAAAGCTACAAAGTAGATGTGATTTTTTTTTTTTTTTACTTTAGAATTTTAGTTAAATCTTTTAACTGCAGCTCCAGGATTTTGTGGGCCGAACCACCTACGTAACCCTAAATGATTTAAACCAGCCTACCTTGATTCTTGCAGCTGACCGGGATGAAGCGTGTGTCACAGTAATTTGTTTTATCTAATATGCTCCATGCGTTTCTGCCAAAAACTTGTCAATCCAAGTATTGTGATCATTGATTAATCTTTTAAGTACTTTACTTTCTTTTCTTTCTTTTTTTTCAAGCACAAATGCCCAAGGAATTGTTGTTTTTAAACACTGCTTTTCTCAGTTTAAAATGATTTTTTAAAACTGAAATTTGGAAATAACATTTGATAGACTAAAAATTTATCGCAAAAATAATCAGCAGATTAATTTGCAGCCCCAGAGACGGGAAATAGTCTGAAGAGGAGAAAGGTCCAGCAACACTTGTTCAGGTTCATCACAAACCAAAGCGTTGCTGGAGCTTTTAAAACCTCCTTTTTTCCTGATCCAGATCCAGAGTGCTGTAACGTGGCTTTTCACTGTTGGGTTCTGCGTTCTCAGGTGCTGCAGGAGGTTCTGGCTCGAGGTCGGACGGTCCTGGTGGTGGCTCATCAGCTGAAGACTGTGGAGAAGGCTGACCACATTATCTTCATAGAGAAGGGAGAAGTTGTGGAGGAGGGGACGCACCAAGAACTCATGGCAAAGAAAGGACGCTACCATCGTTTGAAAGAGGAACTGTTCTCTCAAGTCAGCTGAGAAAAGCCCAGAATGTATTTTTACTGTTTGTACATTTTAGTTATAATAAGTGTGTGCAAGTTAACAAAACCTGGCTGTTTGTTTCATCTTGTAAGGTTTTGTTAGTACAAAAAGCATGCACTATATGAAGTGGTAGGAATGATAAGGTGTGGTCTGCATGTTTAATGTCTAAAGTATTTATTTAGTGTTTGATATCATCACACTGGCAACAGTGACACCAGAAAGCACTCTAATGACCATGAGAGCTGATAAATTATCAGCATTGTTTTAAATAAGTGTACGTTTAAAGTGAGACAGTTAGCTGAAAAGTGTGGGGGGGGAATACTCTTTCAGAACTTAAAAACTTTTTGGACTCATAGTGGAGAAGAGAACTGTTAATCATTTGTGTACCAAATACATTGACAAACAACAGTGGTTAGTATTTGTAAAGCGCCTTTCTAGTCTTTTCGATCACTCAAAGCGCTTTTACCGTCCCTACTAAATTTTACGCCCTTTCTTTCAACAATAAATGATTCCACTCTGAGCTCTGATTCAGGATTTATTTAACACAATAACTTTGATAAACAAAATTAGTGATCTCCATTATTGTAAACAAACAAAAAATTTACGTGAGAAATCCATTTTATATTTGTTTTCAATTAACTACTACACAACATTTCAGAGGGAAATACTACATGTATTTGGTACTCGTTACTTTACAGATTTAGGTTCCCAACCTTTTTGGTTTGTGACCCAGTACAAGAAAACAGTGTCTGGTTGGGGTACTTTGCCACATTTAAGATGTTAATGAGTTGTTTTTCCACCAAGCAGATTTCCATTTGTCTAAAAGTAAACATTTGCTAACAAAAGCTACTGGTCATACAGACCAAGTAAGACTGTAGCAGCAAAACTAGTGTGTTTATTAAATGGAACATTTGAGGGGAAGAATTATGTACCATGTCTTTATCTGAATACTTACGTGATACTACTTGTTTTTGATAGTATTTTGCACTTGTACTCTAGAAAATGACTTGGCATGGTGGCATTTGTACAAAACATCAGAAAACTTTTTTTCCACCACTGTTTGTTTTCATTGGCTAAGTGGATACGTCTCAAACAGACTTCAATATGTAAGAAAGCCTTGTGGTGTAAAGTCCTCCCTCCAGTGAAACGTGTTTTTCTTCTTGTTCCTTCACTTGGGTGTTTGTGCTTCATCTCGTTATACAACCCTGTGTTGTAAAATGATAAATAATCATTAGAAGGCTGTTTCCACATGTATCTGCTGAACGATTCTTTCTCTGCGCTTACTTCAGTGCACAAACTTTGGACTTCGCAGTAGGAGACATCTTGTGTCCAGCAGTTCAACGTTTATTTAATTATTTAAAGAAATTCTAACTAGTGGCAGAATGTAACTAAGTAAATTTACGGTAGTTTGGTAGGTTTATTGTCACAATATAACAAGTTATAGAGTGAAATTCAGTTTTGTAGCTCCCATCTGCTACATAGCAGACAAAATAAACATTAATACAGAATCAATTATGGAAAATGGTAAAATAATAAATAAATAAACTACCTTCACTGGAGCAGTGCTGAGGATGAATTAGAGTTTAAGAGTCTGATAGCTTGGGGGGGGGGGGGAGCAGCTCTGCAGTCTGGTGCGGCAGCAGGAACTTCTATATCTCTTCCCAGAAGGCAGCAGGGTGAACAGGCTGTGGCTGGGTGGGTACTGTCCTTTAGTATCCTTTAGGCTCTGCAGGCACCAATATCATGATGCTCATCATCTATCATCTTCTGAGCAGTTTGAATCACCCGCTGCAGAGCCCTCCGGTCCTGGGCCGTGCACATCCCATGCCAGTTTGTAATGTTTCCAGTCAGGATGCTTTCTATTACTCCTCTGTAAAAGCTGACAAGAACTTTGCGTTGGAATTTGCCCTTCTTTAACTTCCCCAAGAAATACAGTCGTTTCTGAGCTTTATTCACTAGCGTGGAGATGATTCCCAGGAACCTGAAACTCTTCACCTGCTCCACCTGGAGTGTGTGTGACTATGTATTTCTATTCTATACAACTTTATACTTTTAATCCACCACATCTTAGAGGCAATTATTGTACTTCTTACTTCTTTTGTCTGACAGCTTTGTAATTATAATTTATATTCAATTTATAATTTTCCATCCCTTTCATGTCCAGTGAAAATCTCCAAATTTAGTGATTTTGAATTACATCTTTTTACTGATAAATTGAAGGATGAAGTGTTCCTTTACGGTTTGAGGAAATCCTCCTCCTTCCTAAGCTAAACAAACTATTTAACACCCCCTTAGACCAGCTGGAAAACTCATCATCACAAATCTGAAAACAGGCTGTTTTTCTGAGCTCAGGAAAAGTTGACTTTTTAGAAAACGAGACAGGGACGCTACAAACACATCATCCTACCCAAACTACCCAACAGGATGTAAAGTGGTTAAACCTTTAACATCTACAGCTGTGAAATACAACATGTACATTAATGCAGCAGCAATATTAATCTAGATATCCATCAGATTTAATAGTGAAACACTGACAGGGAACATTTTACTGCCCTGTGAGTACTTTAACTTTTGATAGCTCAGGTGTACTTAATTAAGGAATGTTTTTACTTGTGGAGAATTTGCACAGTTGGTATTGATGTGATCTGATTACTTATTCCACCGCTGGGAAAAACCTTTCAGACAGAAGTTGTTCCAAGGAGAGTGTTTTATATGTCAAAATAAGTCTGGAGGGGATATTTAACATACTTTGCTTAACATACAGACTTTAAAAATCTGAGTCAGATATCTGCAGCTTCAGGGTGAGTGCCTGCATGGCGCCACCAGCAGGACAGGTCTGGTGGTTTCAGAAAACATTGTGTTTATACTGGTAACGGATCAAGGTCTGAGCAGGGAGCTGCAAACCATTAAAAGGGGCAGTTTTCTGTTCACTATCAGTGTGGTTCTTTCCTGCAGTGCACAGGAGTTGATCCGAAGAGGTTCTCTCTCCACTGAACCAGAACACCAGCTCGACTTTAGTGCGGAGAGGGGCGCGGTGAGCTGCAGCGGCACAATGATCCCCACGATTGCGTTATGCTCCCAGTCTCTTCGGAACAACTGTGTTTTTCCCAGAGCTTTAAAAGTTTTGCAGAGACCATGGACCGGTCATCCCGGATTACCTGCAGCAAGTCGGTGAGTTACACTGGCATTTTACTTATTAAGAAACTACACCAAGGGCAATATGTTCAGTCGAGATCACAAGATTAAAGAGATTTACTTATTTATAAGTATAAAGGAACAACCCATCTATCAAAATCAACTCTGTATGTTTTTGCTTGTTTTGATCATGTTACAAAATCACCGCAAGACTGATCATATGGCTTTCTTCAAAAATACTTCTGATATTTATTATTGCATAATGGCCGCTAGGCCAAATACTCGATCTGCTATTTTTGAGTGCATTTTAACAGGAGTGAAATCTGCTGGTATGAACGGCGGAAGGAAAGGGAGGAGACAAAGGAAGCACCCCAAAAATAGTTGTTTACTATTTTAAGTATTGTGCAGATGTTCACATTATTATGCGTAATGTATACCATCAACCAAGGGCGGGTATTTCATGTCACTGTTCATAAGAACCCTGCTAGATATCTACCACCCCATCCTGTTCTCCTCCTGTGGCTTAGAAATACACTTCTACTCCAATACGTTTCAGAGGGAAATACTCCAAGTATTTGGTACTAGTTAGGCTACAGATTTAGGTTCCCAAACTATTTGGTTTTTGATCCAGTACAAGAAAACAGTGTCTGGTTGGGGTCCTTTGCACATTACTGTATATAAAGTAGTTAAATCTTGCTCCACCAGAGCAGTAAAAGGCTGCTTATATATTGTTGTATCAGTATTTAAAAGCTTATCATGTCTTATATAATAATATATCAGTCACGGGGGACATTTTACTGCAGGGCAAGTACTTTTACTTTTGATAATTTAAGTAGACCTTAATTGTGCTGATAAAACCTGTGTACTTTTGTACTTAAGTAGGATTTTGAACACAAGACTTATTTTTACATTCATATATTGATGCTTTTACTTAAAGGATCTAAGTACTAAATCGACTACTGATTTCCATCAACATGGTTTCTTTTCAACTGTATAGAGATAGACAGAAAATGTGGGGGTGAGTCATATGCAGTCAAATTCCAACTGGAGACGTTGCAATCACATGATTTCAATGTTCATTTCTACTGTAGTATAAAGTCACATAAGAACTCAAGGCTGGATTACCAAGCAGATAAAGCTGACATCTGCCCCAGACTGCAAAGGGCCACGTTACTGTGTGTCGGATAGTTTGTGATAATTTGACTAAATGCACATTAGTTTGGCAATAGATGCCACTAAATCACAAACAGAAATGATAAGACCCATAAAGACGTGATAATTACCTACTATTGAGGTCCTGTCTAAATATTGTTTGAATATTTCAGTTGATATCAGTCTTGCAAGGTAGCCTACATATCCCCTAAATAACGGAGCTTAAAGACACAGTGAAATCTACGTTTTACAAATTCTAATCCCTTTGTATGTTCCTGCATTAATTGCTCAGTTTTCTCTTTGTAGATGCCAAACATTTGTTTTTCTCAGCTGGAAAATCTGTAGCATTCACCAACAGTTTGCGACACACACGTGACAAAACTTTAATGGATGTTTCTTGCTGAAATGCACTTTGGAAGTAGTTTCTTATGTGATATTTTTATGTACACGAGCAGTTGTTAATATTTTGGACGGATAAGTTAACCGGGGGAGTTTCATGCCAATTGAAGCCATAGAAGATCTAAGAGTCAGTTTTATATGAGTTCCATCCATCCATCCATCCATCCTCAACCACTTATCCCGAGTACAGGGTCACAGGGTTTATATGAGTTTTATATATATATATATATATATATATATATATATATATATATGTATATGAGTTAACTACTACTACTAAAAATGTTTGACAGATTAGTTCTAAACCAATAGGGCCTCTCAGGGTCCGGCCCCCCTCTATAAAGTGCACATGGTTTTTGGCATCATAAAAGGTCCTCTGTTGCACCCTTATCTACAGCACAGAAACCCATGTCACTGGGTCAATGTGTTATTATGTAAAATGTCTGTGAGTTTGAACTTTATAACAGCCAAACTGCAGAGTACCACCCGATGATGAGCTTCTAGAAAATATTTACAGGAAGTCACTGAGGTTGCGACGGTTTCAACAAGGAGACTGTTCCAGAGTTTGAGGGTCTTGGTAGCAAATACATAATCTCTTTGTTTAAGTCTAGATATGGAGACTGCTTTTAGAGCTGAACAGAGCGTTACAACAAGCATTGCTGGAAAAGTATGAATCAGAAAATAACTGGATTACTTAACATCAAGAGTACAACTGGAGTCAGTGATAAATCCTATTCTGGCTATAGGTTTAATGGAAGGTTTATTTAATTAATTATTAATACCTATTTTAATGACACTAACAAGATACAAGATATTCAACTAGGGCTGCGACTAACAATTGTTTTCATTATTAATTAATCTGCCAATATTATTTTTGAATTAGTAGATCAGTTTAGTCCAAAAGTGTCAGAAACTAGTGAAAAACATCCTTCACAGGTGACGTCTTTAAATGTCCATCAAACAGTCCAAAACCCAAAGGGGTTTCATTGCCAACATAGAACACTCGAAATAATGCAGATATTCACATACAAGCCAGAGCATGTGCTTTTTTTTGCATTTTGCTTAAACAAATGACTGAATTAATGATTAATTGTTTATCAATCTTTTGCCAATTCAATAGACCAATTGATTAATTGACCGATACTTTTAACTCTACATCCAACAGTGGATGTGAGTCAGACCGTTAGTTTTTTGCTGACCTTCGGTGGTTTTACTCCTCACCTTGATGCAGTGAAGTACAAGTGTACTCTAGGACACACTGACATCACTGTTAGGTGTGGTGGCAGGTGCAACAAAGCACACTTCTGACCAAAGCCATCTGTGATGTTAAATATTATCAGAAGTGAATCAGCCATTAAACTTGCGACCAGAGAAAGCAGTGACACAGTGCTTTTAAGCCCGGTGTTCATGTATTTTTAAAGGATGCTGATTGTTCCTGATTTGACAGATAGATAAACTAGT